TAATTTTTTATTTGAATTTTATTTTTTAAAATAATTTTATTTAATATATTTTTATCATGATTTATAATATTTTTATATATTTATTTTTTATTATTATTTGTTAATTTTATTTTTAAAAAAGTTGATTCATACACACGTGAGAATGAAAAAACCTTTCATTTACTATGGAATGGTTAATCTCATGGAGATGGTTTTGCCATTCCCATTGGAATAGTCATTCCTTTCCAAAAAATGTACCATTCATGGGATAATGAATGAGTAAGGGAATGATCATTCCATTCCTATGTCATTCTTTCCTACCAATCATGCCATAAGAGTTTTTAATCATTAGATACACATGTAGATTAGTGTAGTGTAGATAATCTACAGTTTAAAATGATTCCGTAACGGGACTGTAGTGCTTTCCTATTAAATGACCAAGTCAATAGGAGAAATTGTGCAAATAATCTGTCCATAATATTGTTTATTTAAATGACTCAATATTTAATAGTATGCAGTGTGTAAACAACCTCAATTGGACTAGAATGGCCTGGATCCGCTCTCAACCTGTTCAGTAGACCTGCAAAACTGTGTCGAGAGTTGCCTAACGTAGAGACTTCAATGATCAAGTCAGTATGTGGATGAAGACGACGATATACAGTAATTGTATAGCATGTATGTATGCAATAGTGTGTAGACTGTAATGGACATATCTCAATCTTTTATATATGAGTGTTATCTTGTTGCCCAAGACTGCCCAATTTCCCGAGCTACTCGTTCGTACTGTCTGGGTGCCCAAACTGCCCGATTCTGTTAGACGTGATCCTATTCATGTGTAGTCCTTACCTTGATAATATTATTTCTTATCTATTAAGTCGTGTGTTCATATTAGTCAATCTCATTAGACGGTCTAACTGTGCGACCAACTTAGCTTTCCTTCAACCCGATTGCCTCGACCTCCCGTCATCAACCTGATTGGCTTCAGGTTGAGTTTCTATCAGGCTAACCAAGAGCCCTAACTCGACCTACTAGTGAGCTCCCTTATCTGCGAGGTCGTCATTGGCCAGGTGACCTTCGACCACCGGTGCTTTTGCTATTTGATCGACCTACCGATCTGCCAGGTCCTACCGAACCACTCCTTAGGTCATACTCGATCTAGTATGATATCCCATATCATTTTTTTTGGGTTTGATGAAGAACATCGTTTATCGTTGCAATAATCGAATACCCTAGGAAAATAATCCTAACCGCAGTGGAGAACTGAAGTTTAGGATCAAGATCTTACAGTTCCACAAAAGCCGACTCTGTACAAAATTACACGGGCTACGGGCTTAGACGAACGGTTATGAGGTGTTCTTCAACCTTCCCTCATCCACCTCGTATGTGTCATGTCCGGTCGTCGAGTCGTTGCTTTCGCTGATTGTTGTTCACGTGCGTCGCGCGTGTGCCGTCGGGAACTTCAAGTTGCTGCGTCGTTTGGCGCTGTGGGGATCATCTACTTCATGGCTGGGATCGCGTGCATCACGGGCTAGAGCGCTGCGGCGTTTGGCACGTCACAGTGATTGCATCCGGGTGTTGCGGCGCTTGCATCGCGACTGGGGCATGGGCTTGCGGTGCTTACATTGCGGTGGTTGGTGGCGGTCGCCAGGGTTCGCATGCAGTGGACGTGCGTCTAGCGTACGGTTGAGGGTGCGCGGGTTTCCGGTGGTCACCCAATACCTTTGATTTTCTGTTGTATTTCTTGCTTCGGCTGGACGTCATGTGGGGCGACGATATATTAAACATGTGTGGCTTGGAACTCTCTTTTTGTCTTCTCTTTCGTACGTTTTAAGCTACAGTTGAGTTATGAGAATGAGTTCCCCACGTAGCTTATATATAGGCTACAACAAGACCCAAATGAGGCTAGGATTCGGACTTCTAACATGTCATGAAATACTTTGGTTGTGGTCCACCCTATTTTTTTGGGCCATTAATAATAAATAATTCTATTAAATATTTATTATTGCACTTCCTTTCCTCCACCTCAATTATATGGGCTCCATTATCCTCAATTTATTTTTTTTGCGCCAAAAATATAACATCTGTTAATTAGTTTTAATTACTAACAATATAATTAATTAACTTCTTGATGTTCCAAGACTAGTACTACTCAATCCTTATTATTATGCCAGAATTAAATTCGCCTGTAGCGCTTAACATAATAAACATTTTGAGCTCATCTCGAAAATGTCATCAATCTGGCGCACTAGTGCACAGTGACCGAGTTTAATCGATAGCACTCTATGTGATTAATAATAATTTCCAATTCACCGAGTTATTGACCTAACAGAATAAGTCTCACCACTTGATGAATCAAAGAATAATTATTAATCACATATGTCCATCATTATCAAACGACTTAAGCGTAAGAGCAATATCATAAGATATAGTTTATTTACTAGGTCAATATAAAATCTTCTCCGGGGTTCGTCCAATACACACAAAGTGTAACACTAAAATTTATTAGTTATGATAAACTAACTCAAATTATACTATAATTATATCGATAGGTTTGTTCATTGTTATCTCGATCATAAAACTTATTTATATTACACAAGGAACCAATGACTCAATCTTCTGTGTGACGGTGCCACACTGAATTATCTTCAATGTGAATATGAGGACAAGAGGCAAATCTATATATAAAGTAAATTGCACAAACATTGACTAAAACATGATTCTTTATTCAAAACGGAAATAACGTTCAAAAGAATCAATGCTTTTGTAAAACTCTGAAGGTTGACATTAAATCTACAAACTTTGAACTGAAGCTTGGAACCTTCATCGCCTTCTGGAATCGTGCTAAAATATAAAAGGGAAGTTTTTAATATCTTATTTTATTTATTTGAGTTTATTTATTTCTCTCTTACTTGGTTTATTTTATTTGAAGGAAAATGAGATTCTTTTACCTTATGAAGTAGCCGCACGCGCACTTACCATAGAAAGCAACAATGAAAAAGAAGGAGGACTTACCAAGTGAAGTTAGCTTGGAAAAAGGGCAAGCTTGCGACTAAGTTTGGAAGAATGGAGGACGAGGAGGACTTACCATTATGAGCAAAGATAAATAGGCTTCCACGTACAATTGGAATGAACACTTTTGAAGAGAAGAGCGAAAAAGAAGAAAACCTTTAGAGAGATGTTCGAAAGGTTTTCAATTTTATTTTATTTTGATTGAGTGGAGATGAGAGTCTGTTCTCGATCTCATTGTTGAACATATTATTATTTTATTTGAGTATAAGTGTTCGGGAGGAACACTTAAAAACAACACGAGGAATTTGTGTTGAAAAAATCCATAATGGATTTATGCTCAGGAAAGTAGTAGTATAGGTGATTACATTGTAGGTTCAGAAGAGAGAGTTTTCTTTGTAAATCCTAAGTGTAATGGGCCAAACACCTATATATATATATATATAATAGTTTCGGAGGGAGAGCGGGTTGCTCTCCTGAAGGTTCTTATTTTGTAAAATATTGCTTCCGCAATTAAGTGAACGTACATCAAAGTTTATTGACTTATACTGTTAGTGCAATTCTGTTACATCCGGGAATTACATCAGCGGCCTGAAGGCCTGTACCCTTGGTTCCCGCTTGTGCTACTAAGAACTAGAACTCAGAAGTAAGGGTGAGTGGAAGAGAGAGACAATAGTTATATACCAACTCATCTACCTAGATTCTCCTGATTCAGTGAATTTGGCTTCGTATTCATTCAGTGTCTGCAGATTACTAAGTTGTGGATCAAAAGTTATGATTCGTTCCCCATACTTCGGCATTTTGTCCTTCATTTTGCTCTCTTTACGGCTAAGTGACTTATTCACATCTGGAAAACCCTATGATCACACAAAGATAGGTAGGGATAGCTAGTACATACCAAGCTCTTTGGTGTTGGGGCTCTGACAAGACCCCTTAAGCCTAGAACTCTATAATAATAATAATAAAAAAAGAATCTCTTTTAGCGGGGAAAGTACTACTGAAGATAAGTATCGTTTGTGTTGACAAGCGAGTTTCCACATTAAAAGCCTTCCCACATAAGAAAATACAATATTGCGCAACACAATTTTTCAACACAAAACGATCCAACGGGTCAACACGAGACCCGAATAACCCAAATTCGAGACTGGCCTGTGTGAGTGCTTCGGACCCGATCAAACACAATCAACTCGGCATTAACCCGGGCATCAACCATGCCGAATCAACCAAATTTGACAAGGTCATTATTTTTTTTCTCTAAAATATTTTTTTATCTTTAAATATAAAAACGATGTATAAATATTTATACAAAACATTTATTTCTTTTACTTTTATGTATATTCATATCATAAAAATGTTACGTATATAATTTTAAAATTTAAAAGTAATTATCCAATTCAACAATTATCTCAATAACCCGCTAGTTAAACCGATGACCTTGAAATTTGACTGAGAGTCGATTCTCATACCGAGTTTAAAAAAAAAAACTACAAAATGATTGTTTATGAATTCAACTAGTTTTTATTTAATTTGTCTTTTTAACTAGAGTTAATTTAAAAAAATGTTATAATTAATTGTTAGTGGATATATTAAACTAATATTTAAACAAAATAATTATCTAAAATAGGAAAAAAAATGATTCAAAGTGATGGTCAGTGTAAGAATGATTGGTTAATATTATTTAATTATGTTGATAATATTGAAAATAGCGGAGTTGAATTAAAACTGAATTAAAGACGAGTTTTAATTGATTTTTTTTAGAACGCAAATATGAAAAGCCATGCAGCAATCAAAGGTAATTCAAAGGCCAATAATTTTAAAGCCGAAAACAGTTACCAGATACACCAAAGGTCACTAATAAATCTGTATTCAAACCCTTCAAAACAATTCCGACTATGAGACTACTCGCTGCTCATCTAACCAAAGCTACATTTCTTGCAAGACTTTTATATTCTCACGAAGGCTATCCATTACAAACCAACAATAACATGTGCCAAGGCACTCACATGAGAAAATAAAATAAAATAAAATAAAATAAAAACAAATTAGAGGTCACTGAGCCGGCGCAGACCAGAATATACAGCTTTCCGGAATAGGGGATGAACATCCTCAATTAGTACCTCAGCTTCTAATTTCTCAACAAGAGGCCAAATCTGCCAAAAAACAGAGCCCACAGCATTAGCATAAAGCAGAAACTAACATAACCACTCATATCGGTAACACTTTCACTACAGACCAAAAAATAAAATATATAAAAGCATGCCCATAAAATGTCCTGCAGTAATAAATGACCAAAACCAACAGGTTACCACTGAGAAACATGTTGCAAGAGAAGCATTCTCATCCAATTTTGAAAATGTAAAGTACTCACTGTCCCATAAAGATAATGCCCGTAACTATTTCATGTGTTCAACATATATAGGGTTCTCATTCAATTTAATATGTACTTAGCTTTTCATTGACTTGTGTACCACTAAATAATCTTGGGACCACAGTATCACATTTTGACAAGGAATAAAAAACCAATGCGCCATAGGGGCATGAATGAACAATGCAATATTTTTAATATAGTACCATGTATTTTCCAAGTATGCAAATATAATATAGGTTTACTTTTATCTTTGTGAGATGGAGAGGAATAAATAATAATAACATAAGCAGAAGTGCTGCTTGCCGAGAACTTATGAGCTTACTTCAGACGCGTATTGACGTGTGAAGGCCTTGACATAACCAAGGGTTGATAAACACCACTGTTCCTTTTCACCAACACTAAAGCCATTTGTTGTCCCTTTCCCATTGGAATGACTGCAACAAGCAACAATATATCATTAACACCAACCAAAACATCCAGATAGCAAAAAGAACAAGTCCAATCATTGGCGATGAAAGAATAGGACATTCAGGTTAACATTACAAAACAAAAGGTACAACCACATGTTTATAGCCTAATTACCAAAAACTACAATTTATCTTTCAAAATCAAACACAATATTTATCCTACAAAAACGCCTCTCCTGAGTAGAAACAAAAATCATGGGAACACTAGTAATTCTAAAAGATAGTTTGGCTTATATTATAATATCAATTTCATGGGTACTTCCTTAACTAACAACGTAGCTTGAAGTAGAAAGACAAACCTTTTATGTGAATTTTCACCCTCATTGTCCAGCTCCATTTCTGATGCACCTTCATGCTCAATGGCCATCTCGTCCGGCTCACCGGATTGGTGCAAGGATCCCTCTGTCTCTCGAAGGGGTTCCGCCAAAACATTCGAGAAACTTTTGTACAAGAAAATAAATAATGCCTGCAGGTTCGATCAATAACAAAATTCACTGTTACGAGATTGTCACATTCAGTGGAATTTTGTCCAACCAATACCATCCGAATATGGAAGTTTCAGTTTAAGGCGTAGGCCAACCGTAAATCACAGGCTATATTTCCGTATACCTCAATTTCCTCGCCTGCTCGTGCAAATAGAGCCTCCTTTGCTTCTAACGACTCTTGTGTAGAAACCTCTTCCTCTTTTGTTTTTTCAGCATTTGATTTCAAACGCTTCATTTTCGCAGGATTCTCGGCAAGAACAGGTTCACCATCCACGAGAGTCAGAGTAAGGTTTGTCTTAGCATCCTCCAACTCAGCAAGGGCTTTCGATGCGGCTTCTTTAGCTGATGCAACACTCTTCTCGAGGGATGATATCTCTTTCCTCAGATCAGTAATGCGATTGAATGTTTTTGTAATAGCATTTCTCAGAATCTTTAAACCAAACAAAATTTCATCAGTAACTCACTTATTTATC